GTGCATTTTAAGAATATATTTTAAGCCCCTTGCAAGTTTGGTAACTAAAAGCACAGTTTTTTTTAACTTGCTGGTGAATCACATATCAACCTTTTTTTAACTTGAAGCAAGAGAACTGCACAATACACATGTGCAGCACGTTTAGTAGTAGTGAGGAAAATTACCTGCTTTCAAGTTTGTTTGTACCTTGTAGAAAGACAGCTATGCATGGTTCCTATCATGGTGAAAGATGTGCATCTTAAGACTGTATTTCCTCCAACAGGTTCATGCCCAAATACTAATCCTATTGCAGGACAGTCAGGCTAATCTTTCAACAGCAAGGGTTGAACTACTCCTGTTAAAATGTTTGTAGTGAAGGCACAGTTCCATTTGCCGTGGGCTACATCTTTGTGGAGAATACTTAGATCTGCTTGACGTCTACTGATTCCTTGCACATCTCCCCCCCACTGTCTTCCTGCCGAATGACTTAGCAGTTAAGATGAGTTAATGCAGTGGAAAAGAAACATGCCTATGACCTTCTGTTACACAGTTGTTATTTGATAATAAATGATCTTTCGTCCAAAGTATTTAACTAATTTATCAGTGAAATGTTTTAAAATGAATAGATTAGCGAACGACAAGCATTCAGCTGGGACAAGACCGTAGTTCGTGTTTTAACATGGTAAAATGTTGCAAAGTGATCTTAACTGAAGTTCAGGTGAAAAAGCTCTATCAACCTTCCAATCACATCCTTCCAGAGTACCCTACAATAACAACAACAACTTGCACTTATATAGCGCTCTCCACACAGTGTAGCATCTCAAAGCGCTTAAGAGTAGCGGAGCCTGACTCCGAGCCGGGGGTGGGGGGGGGAGGTGGCTATAAGCACGGTCGAAGAGGAAGGTTTTCAGGCAGGACTTGAAAAAGGGGAGAGAGAGGGCAAGGCGGAGCGATTGAGGGAGAGTGTTCCAGAGTTTCAGGGCGTAATGGCTGAAAGCTCAACCTCTGATGGTAGGGCAGAGGGTGTGAGGGACGAGCAGGAGGCTGGTGCTAGTCAAGTGGAGGTGCCGGGTGGTGGATTGGGGAGTGAGGAGGTAGGGAGGTGCCAGGGAGTGAATGGATTTGAACACAAGTGTGAGGATCTTGAAGTCGATCTGTTCGGTGATGGGGAGCCAATGGAGCCTGGCCGGAACTAGTGAGATCTGTGTACAGAGTTTGGTCCAGGTCAGTATGCGGGCGGTAGAGTTCTGAATTAGCTGGATCTTTTGAATGGTGGAGCTGGGGAGACCGGCGAGGAGTGTGTTTGAGTAATCCAGGTGGGAGGTGATAAACGCATGTACGAGGGTATCGGCTGCATTTGGGGTAAGGTACGGTCGGAGGTGGCCAATGTGTCAGAGGTGGAAGAAGGTGGTCCTGGTCAGGGATGAGATGGGGGGGGGGAGAAGGACAGGTGGGGGTCGAATCGGATGCCTAGATTGCGCACTGGTTCTGTGAATCTGAAGGAGAGCTCAGGGGGGTTGAGGAGGTTAGATCCGCAGAAGTGAAGACGTTGACAGGAGCCAAGGAGTATGGCTTCAGTCTTGTTCACATTCAGCAGAAGGAATTTTGACTTATCCAGGCCCTGATGTCTGCCAGACAAGCTGATAGAACATCGACGGACCTGGAGTTGATACTGGTACCAATTGATACCTTACCAAGATCCTCCTCTTCGACCGTGCTTTTGATCTCTGCTGTTAAAGATCATTAGTTGTCATTACTCAGAAATCAAAGGGAGTTTCTCCTGGTGTCTTAGCCAACAGCCAATTTGGGCACGGCAATGCCCCCAAACAACTATGAAGTAAATGATTAATTTTTTTCCATGGTGATGTTGGCCGGGATGCATGGGAGAAACTCCATTCTCTTTACCTGCATTCTCTTGTAAGTCCCCCTGAAGAGGCAAACAGGACCTCGGTTTGACTTCTCATCAAAAGAACAGCACCTCCAACAATGCTGCAACCCCCCCCCCCCCCCCCCCATCCCTGCACTAGAGTATCAAGTTCTGCCTTGGGGTTTGAACCCACACGCACCTTAAGACTCAAGAGGTGATAGTGCTACTGACAAGCCTGGCTGACATGTCTAACTTGAACATGGAGTGGTTGCATGGCAGATAACAATATAGTGCTTTTCACATTGGCACTGTGTTCCTGTTATAGCTGTTAATGTTCTGTGTGCTAACCAGCAGATGCAAATAAAGTTGGCCAGAAACTTTATTCTCTCCTCTGCAATAACATGGTTATCTCACCTCGATATGAACTGTGCTATTTCTGATATTGACCTAACACGCCTAAGAGGAATCGCATTAAGATCTGAATTGCCAAACTTCTGTTCAGAAAGTCAGTCATTTCTCCCGTGTGACATGTGGCAAAAAAGAATGGATGTGGACTATAAACCATTGGTTTATGTCTCTGTTGCTAAACCGCCAGACCTTTTTATTATTTTAGATAAAACCGTTAAGTAAGAATTTTTTCGAAGTCTTCAAATGTTTTTTCAACCGCACAATCTAAATTTGTAGCCTTTAAATTTTAACCTTTTATTGTAAACAATGACTATTTTAAATAACTTAACGGTTAGGTGTTCAGTTGCCAGTACTCTCACCTCTGGGTCAAATACTTTAGGTTGGGACTCTGAGCCCTTAGTGAAGGCTAATACTCCAGTGCAGTGCTGGGGGAGTGTTGCATTGTCAATTTGCAGTCCTTCAGATTAGGTACTGACTCGTGGTGTCTTCTGTCTAAAGATGCCACACCACTTTGAAAGTCGAAGGGACTTTATAATAGTGTTCTGGTGCACTAGATTGGATTTGTGCCATGTGCATTCAGTGGCATTCACCTGTGATTTGAGGCAATGGAAGTGTACAAGGGGGACTTGAGAGAGTAGGAGACAGTGAGGGAGGTAATGGGGGCAAGGGAGTCAAGGATGACAGAGGGAGTTGTGGAGGAGAGTAACTGAGAAGAGCAGATCATTACGGGAGGAGGCTCAGAGGGGCAGGAGTTCAGATGATTTTAGAGCAGCCAGAGAGCATGGAGGTAGATAGAAGTGAGGTGGGCAGCAAGGAGGGTTATGGAAGAGTTAAGAGAGATGAATTAGTGATCTGAGATGCCTTTATCAGTGATGGTGATGTTCAGTCAAAAACCACAGTCAAAAAGGCAATATAATGTTGAAAGATTCAGCTAGGTGGCAGTATAATCATTAAATACGCACTGTTTTGTTTAACTTTCTTTCACTGTGAATTCTTTCCCTTGGTGACCTTAATGTATGTTCAAAGTAAAATAGCAACACATTTGCACTGTGTAATGTGCTGTGGGATGAATACTTTTGAGGTGTATTATCCTCATGCATTGAGTTCATGATCTCAGGCTCGTTCCTGAGAGACTTTCGAAGGGTGGTTGTGCGTGCTAGCTTGCTGGCAGCTGGCTCCGTAGGTATTAAGGAGGTCAAGGGGCAGTTTTCTTACCCACCACCGAACCTCTTAACTGTAGAATGCCACGTGACATGGTGAGAATTTTTTTAAATGAGATCTAAATAAGGTACACAAGGTTTCAGAAATGTAACACCATTAGGCATTTGAGAGGTGAGTGAAAATATAGGAATTAGGACCCTTATAGTTTAAGTTCTTATCATTCAGCTTGCATCATTCAGTACACCAGTTACAATATTCACCCCCAATTGAAGACATTATAGGAACTCCTCACTGGTCTCCCCAGCTCCACTATCCACAAAATCCAGTTAATCCAGAATTTTGCTGCCCGCACTAAACTCCATACCCCTATCACACCAGTTCTTGCCAGTCTCCACTGCCTCCCTATCACCGAACAGATCAATTTCAAGATCATCACACTCGTCTTCAAATCCCTTCATGCCCTGGCACCTCCCTACCTCTCCCTACCTGCTTACTTCCCAACCCACTATCCGCTGCCTCAGTTCGACTGGCTCCGGCCTTCTGCATGTCCCTCGTGCCCTCTGTATATCATCGGGGGCCGCACTTTCAGCCACTGCACCCCGGAACTCTGAAACACTCTCTCTCAATCCCTCTGCCTTGCCTCCTCCTTCCGCATCTTTAGGTCGCCCCTGAAGACCTTCCTCTTCGAACGTACCTACAGTCGAAGAGGAAGCATTGAAGCAGATTGCAACAAGACAATGGCAGTGTTTAAAAAAAATCTCCAATGTATGTTACTCCTAAAAATAATATTTAGTAACCTGATCTGTCCAACTTTGTGCTTGAGGGCCAATTAACTTCCATCTATAGTAATTTCTTTGGTTGAGGCCTTAATTTAGCACTGGTTTAAATTGAAATCTAGTCAGAAGTTGTAGATTGTTTATTAATCCTTCCAAATGCGTATCATCCAAACATTAACATTTAAAAAAAAATGAATCAGTGGAAGTGTATTTCAAATGTTTGAGCTGCTTTTGCTAAATCTTGGCTGAAATTACAATTGTGGTATTTATCTTCTCAAAGCAAACAGCCTTGATGTCCGCGAAACATCTGGGTTCCAGACACTGAATTTGTGATATAAAGCTTCCAAAGCGCCTCCGTGGCTATTTTTTCTGGAGAACACTAGATCCAATTTTTTCTGCACGTTTTTATTTATTTAATTTACAATCCACAGATTAAACTCCAATGAAATTGTATGAAATATAACAAGATCAGTTCCCTCTGGGACGCTATCCTGCGTGAGGGGCTCTATATAAATGTAAGTTGTTGTTCCCTTGATGGCATGGTGGGTAAAATTACCCAATGCACCACTAGTCCATTCAGATTGGAAAGTTGCAGGTTCAAATCTCAGTGCTGAGTTGGCTGATCTCAAATGGGGAAGGGAGTGGGACATTGTAATTGATCTTAGTTCCCAAGGGAGGGGAATACCAGACAGGTTTTTCTGTGATCAAAATCTCATTTAAGATGATAGAATAGTCATTTATCAATCTCCAAAACTGGTAATATGACTGTGGTGACTTGATTCTGAAATACCTTTTCTCCTCTTTCCTAGCTCTATGCCATTCCTTGGTTCCTCACAATGTTTACACGTAAGTATGATCAACATTTATCAGCAAAATAATATTTTTTTAAAAAATAACTTGCATGAGCTGTGAAACCAAAGTCTCATCTGCCTATTCAGGTGGCCATTAAAGATCCCATGACACTATTCGAAAAGAGACGTCCCTACCATGCTGGTGGTGTTTATACTCCACACAAATCTTCATCCACTCCTTTACTCTCTCCCATACCCTTCTATTCCCCTCTCCCTCAACCACCATTTCAGGCAGCGATTCCACAATGTACCCTCAAACTACCCTCTGCATTAAGTAGTTCCTCCTAAATTCTCTTTTAGATTACCTGATCCCTATCTTATACTTGTGTCCCCTGGTTACTGTCTCTCGAAACAGTGGAAGCAGCCTATTTATGTAACCTTTTATAATTTTAAACACTTCTATTAGCCTCCCCCCCACCTTAAACATCTCGTCTCTAGCGAAAAAAGGCCTGACCTATCCAGTCTATCCTGATAGCAGTAACCTGCCAATCCTGATATCATACTAGTTAACCTGTCCTGTACTGTTTTCATCACTGCTTTTCATCACCTTCTTGTTTTCAACACCTTCTTGTAGTGTGGAGATCAGGACTGACCAGTGTTTAATGATCACTTTTTAATGGTTCAGTACAACATATATCTTTTGTTTAAACTAAAACATAGATTTTTTAAAAATTCCATGTTGTGAAATGATCAGGCAATTAAACCAGGCTTCTTGGCACAAATCAAAGTGCCATTATTTCATATCTGTAATGCATGAAGATCATTAAACATGAAAACATATGAAAAGATAACTCATCCCATTCAGGCAGAAGAAAATAGTTTGGGCAGTGCACATTCCCCAAAATAAAACTGAATCCTGTCTGCCCAATTGACTGCTTATAGAACATATATTCAAAACAAACTGAATGTCCTTCTCTTTAGTGCAAATTGCTTTAGGATGTTTTGACTTCCTGCCTTGAATTATCTTCATCTTTGTGACTGGTATTGATGGAATGTTTGAATCAGCAGGTTTCAGGACATATATCAAACAGGTTTGAACTGATACCAGCTCGGGACAGAATACCCAGTTGCAACATAAGAATTGCTCCATGACAGAAAAAGCCAGTTATTGGATATGTTTATCTTCCAAATGGAAACAAGATTGGTTCAGATGAAGAAGACGCATCTGATCTAATCCCTCCAAAACACCTACCCTACAGTCCTCCAATCACAGAGTCAAACTGCTTTTTAAGATAGTCGAGTGTCCTGACCTCTATTACCTTTCCTGGCAACCTGTTCCAGTTGGTAATTACCCTCTGAGTAAGAAAAATATCCTGGGATCTGTATTGAATTTGTCCTTCACATTGTTAAACCAAGCATAGAAAATTTAAGAATACACAGTCAATTCACTTTACAGTATATCCAGTGAAGCGCTTTGAGACATTGCAAAGACGTGATAAATCAAATGCAAGGATTATTATTATTATGGCCTCTTGTTCTCCTGTCCTGGTGCATCCTAAAGTATTGATCTGGGTTCACTTTTTCAATCCCATTTAATGTTTTACACATTTTTATGAGGTCTGCTCTGTGTCATTGTCTTTCAAGACTGAAGAGCCCGAGCTTGTCTAATCGTCCGAAACACTGATAATCCAGCGCCTTGGGACATCCTCCCTATGTGAAAGAGGCTATACACTTGTAATTTTTGTTTTTTGTTTGTGGCTCTTACCTCATTCCTCAAACACTGGGGTTCATCCTCGTTGCTCTCCTCTGCACTACCTCTCGTACCTGGGCAGGGCACTTATATCACAGTGAATACAACTGAATCCAGTACTCCAAGTGTGGTCTGACCAGACCACTCTACAGCTTGAGTATGATGTCTGGGACTCTAAACTCAACAAATTAGAATCAAAAGCAGAGCTCCCCATTTGATCTTCAGAAGCAAGTCTCTTCAATAAGAAAGTTAATTTAACAGGAAAAATTCATATAGATGAGATATTTTAAAAATATTGTCTTGAAACTTTCTGAAATGCAGAATTAAAGAAAATAATAATAATCTTTGCATTTGATTTAGTGCCATATCATGTCGTTAAGACGTCTCAAAGCGCTTCACAGAATATACAGTAAAGTGTCATGGCTGTATTTTGTGGACAAAACGTGGCAGCCAGTTGTGCACAACAGTGTCCCACAAAGAGTTGTGGATTGAGCGTGGCTTATTTGGAGGGATTATTAGCTCCGGAAGTTAATTTATCCTGTGTTTTCTTAATAGTACTTGCCTCTGCTTTTCAATGTGATGTTCCATCTTTCACAGATGTGTTTCCATTACACAAGATTTTTCACTTGTGGGACACATTGCTCCTGGGCAATTCCTCGTTTCCCTTTTGTATTGGGGTCGCTATCCTTCAGCAGCTGCGAGTCAGGCTACTGGACAACGGGTTCAATGAATGCATTCTGCTATTTTCCGATTTACCAGGTAAGAGTCTGAGGAATAATGTCTTTAATGTAAAGCAATCCACAGGAAACGCAAAGCGCAGCACACATGGTGTGTCGGCCATCCACAGCTCACATTGTGATCCCTTACATGTCTCAAAGACTGATGAAGTGGAGCTCTGTTCTAAAGGACTTTGTTATTAACATGGATGGTGTGTGGAGCCCAGTTATTGTGCACGTGCACAGCAGATCAGCTCGCTTCCCGCACAGCAGCTAGTTCCTGCGCTAATTTCCAGGTCATTAGGTTATTGCCAATGTCTCTTCCTATGTTGGATAGCTATGAAATGGCAAACCATGTGGTTCTAGCTGTTGAACTCCAGCAGCTCCCCAATGCATACTTTGGGTCCCTGTGCCTTGGCTTATGCCAGCCTCGGCGAATACCCTCTGGAATTAGATGAGTTAGAGAGCATCCCTCCAGGGAGAGAGTGTGGATTCCAATCCATACAAAGGGAAATTTCCATTCATGGGAGGCATATATATGTGAACCTCATGTAGTTTGGCTACTATTAAGCATGATGATGGATTTCTGCATGTGCCAGACACTCAGCTGACCCCAAAAAATCACTCTATTCCTAGTTACACCACCATTTTCCTTTTCCACATAGATAGCACAAGAACACATAGATAGCACAAGACAAGAGCTATTTAAACCAAACGTTTATCAGTTCAGGATTCACTATTCCAACATAATTGTTCTTTTGATGTTCCTTTGTTGTCAAGCCACAAGCAGTAGCTCAGATTTTCCAGACATGTGGTTCTTTAAGATTATATGCACTATGTTGCTTGACTGTTCTTTGAACTTGGAACCTAGAGATAATTAATACTCACTCACTAGTCAATTGTGTCACTTAATTTTATTGCTGAAAAATATGGCATATAAATCACATCTTTATATTAGCTTTTATGAGCTGAAAGTTTGCGATGGAAGGTACACTCAAGTATAATGCTGACATTTTGCTTTCTTGCTTTTGCAAGATTTGTGAGGGATAATTACTTGTTTTATATTAAATTTATATTTTGCAGCCGTCAGTGGTGTGGCATTCTGTGTGAATAAAGTCTATTTGGAACAGCTTTAAACTATACTTTTAAAGAAAGCTCCACCGGTGCAAACAACAAATTGCGTTCAAATTGGGTTCAATAAAGCTGAACAACCAATGTCTTGTGCTGTTTTAAGACCTGTTATGTAAACAGCAGGGGATAATGAAAGGTCAAGTGTATGCCAGCACTGCCTTTGCTCTGTATTCCTTCATCATGGTTATTTCTAACCGTTCCCCCACTATGTTTATAATACAGAACATGTTCAACAAGTGGCTGTGTGCTAGTCTGAACTACTGGGCTGTGCAAATTAAGTGTTTAAACTACAGGACAGATTCCACTGCAGCAACTCAACAACAAATGCACTTGGGTAATATGCACTTGCACAGCAGAAAACCTTGTTCACAGTTTTGATTTCCTACTGCCAGACCTGCTCACGAAGAAGAAAACTCCGAAGGCCCCTAGAGTCAAGCTTCCCACCGCACTGCAATGGTGCTGCACCTGCAGCCACTGGTGCTGAGAGAACCAGATCTTTAGTTGGGTCTTGGCACCTCTGGAGGCAGCAGCATCGCCTCATTACCCTGATAGCCTTGGGTGTGAAGTCAGGGCTGCTGTCGTAACCCCAATAAATGATGATTGCAGTGCTTTTGTTAAGCTCCACTGAAATCTGCTTAATATTGTGTCAGTGACAGACACTGCACACATGCACCTAATCAGCACATAGGAACAGGGCCTAATTGAGCAAAGCATTCTGTTACTGTAACCGCACTGAACACATGCCTCAGGCAGTCTGTTATAACAACCATTCTGCATTTGTTGGTTTACCATAGCAATTATACCTTATATATTTTTTATTTATTTATTCTCATTTCTTATTCCCAGTATGTCTGTGCTGTAGCATGCCCTCAGTTACCTTGGATATTAGTAATCAGTGTCCAAGAATGTTGTCTTTTTTTTTCCCAATGCCATGATTTCTGAATAAGGTGGACATCAGAGCAGCAGATAATTTCCTGTTAGTGCTGAACCTAATCAGTTAGAAATACAACCATAATTTTGTTCACAATAACAGTCGTTACATTTAACAGTAATAAACGTAAACCTGCTTCCCTCCCTGCCTTTCACCCTCCCCAAACCCCACCCCCAGCTCGGGTCCGATACACTGACTGTCCAGTGCCTTGGGACTTCTTCCTCACGCAAACAGCACTATACAAATGTTGTTGTTGTAAAATGCTTTGAGGAATTTCAAAGTGCAATATGCTGTAAAGTGTAAGTTTCTGTCTTTGTATAATCATCCAGCAATTGGTATTGTTCAGTAAACTTAGAATTGTTTTTTATTCACTCAAATAGATAAGTACACTGATACTACTAGTAGTTACTGATATCCGCCCACTCCTTATCTGAGCAAAGTAATAATGATAATAATCCTTGCATTTGATATAGTGCCTTATGTCGTCGTTGAGAAGTCTCAAAGCGCTTCACAGAATTTATTGCAAAGTAGATTGATTGTGTAGGCAAAATGCAGCAGTCAATTGTACACAGCAGAGTCCCACAAACAGTCGTGGATTGAGTGATCACATTTTTTTTTGGAGGCATTATTACCCCCGGAAAGCAATCCACCGAGTTCCTACTGACGGCTAGGTAAACTTGTAGAGGCGTGTGGAGTAAGGAAACTTGCCTAACTTGTCCCACCCGGGAATCGCACCTGGTTCCTCTCACTTGCGAGGCGAGTTTGCTAACCACCACACTACAGGATTCTATGCATAAATTTCGTGCATAGGGCAAATGGTCTAACAATAATTAACACTAATGGTAATGGTGCTGCAGTGTAAATGGGGAATGCTGAATACAGAGTCAGTTGAAGAATCTAAATGTCTTAATATTGCACACCCTGTTTGATGGATAGGCCAATTAGACTTACAATTAGAGGATGGTACGCGGTTTACATAAACCCAAAAGATTTCTAACAAAAGGCACTAAAAGATGGCATTTAAAAAAAATTGCAAACATTTTTGGGCCTCAAATTTTGAATATTAAATTTCTGGACATGTTTTTCGCCTGTTCATTTGATGCATCATAAAAGAGCACAATGTGAAAATCAGAAATAAGTGTTTAATACCTTCTTTAAAGAATCAAAAGTGTAGTTTTATCTGATAGTTTTGGTTTGCTTTTGGTCAAGTTCTCCTGAGAGTTGACTATCCCTAAATGCTACAGTCATATAGCTGCAAACTTTATGTGCAGATAATAATAATAATCCTTGTATTTGATATAGCGCTTTATCACGTCTTCAAGACGTCTTAAAGTGCTTCACAGAATATACTGTAAAGTGAATTGACTATATATTTTGTGGACAAAACGCAGCAGCCAATTGCAGACAGCAGTGTCCCATAAATACTCATAGATTGAGTGACCAAATTATTTTTTATTTATTTTGAAGGAATTATTCCCCCCAGAAAAGCGATCCGCCAATCAACTAATAACTGGATTCCTACTTACTGCTAGGTAAACAGAGGTGTGTGGAGTAAGGAAACTTGCCCAATGTTTCGCCCTGCCAGAAATCAAACCCAGGTCCTCTCGCTTGCGAGGCGAGTGCTCTACCACTAAGCTACAGGATTCTGGCCTGTTTATTTGATATATTGCAAAGAGGTGAAAATCAGCAAACATTGAGCTAGACCTGCCTCCATCGAATATGTGCTTATTAGTGATGGCAGAATGGGACACAAACCAAAGATCTGATCTGAATTTGAAGAGTACATGCACATAACTCTTCAATGAACAATTAATTCAGTGTTGTCTTTCAATTTAACTAGTTGGCAAACTGCATTTGAACCTTTTGGAGATGTGTTCTGTGTTGCTGACAGGCGCTAGAAGAGGAATCTTTTCTTGTTCCAGCCTTTGAATTATCCCATAAATGTAGCATGTACAATACATTGATTTGCCTCGGGTACTTCTCATTAAGAGAATGACATGACTTGGCTGAGGTAAGGGGAAAGTTATGTTGTACAGTAAGTACATGCATTCCTTAAAGGTACATTCACCACAGCTAGTTATTCATTGTTATCCTTTATACAATACATTTAGAGGGATGACATGATTCGACAATCTCTCAGTGTGCTGGCCAATAATCTTCCAGATTTATTGGTCATTCATTTAATGGCTATTCATGGATCTTTGCTATGTGTAAAATGACCTTGTTGCGTTTACATGCAAAGATAAAGTAACTTCATGGGTAACTATAATTACAGTGAAGCTCTTACTGTAATAATACAAGTGCTCTTCTTTTGTGGCTTACAGCCAAACATCATAACTTGGTGAAAAGGACTGAACAATTTGTTGTGCACACCTGCTGTCTCCCTCATTGTCTCAAGAGTGTGACTGATGTTTCTACCCGTAACAGAAATTCCTTTGTAAGATAATTCACCTTTCTCACTTGTAACTACTTGTAGGCTGCTTTCATTTTAGTTTTTAGTTTTATTATAGTTCCACTGCTGTAAAAGATTTGAAACCCCAAAGCTGCTTTATTGTTGCCAGATGTTCACTCAGACCTTTCTGCTTAGTTTATATACATCTCACGTGATCCTTGGTGATCCTCACAATACTTTACAGAGGCTGATTTTGGAGTTATGTCCATGTGTTTCATTGTTGGCTCTTTTATTAGAGAGAGAGGAAATGGGATGTCAGATTCCCATTGTTGTGTCTCTTAGCTTATAAATGTCCTAACTTGATGAAATCTGTTGTTAGTGTTTCATATTGAAATGCTAATTGCTTAATCTCATTTAAAAAGTCTCTTCAAAGTTCCTCATCAAATTCATATTTATATCTGAATATATTTTAAAAGTACATACAAATGCTGTGTTCATGCTGCAGCATGGGTATCAGACACAATACCCACCTGCTACAACCAGTGTTTTATTGGTAATATGTAGGTATATCATTGTTATTATCACTTTTTTACCATTTCTCCTATTTTCCAGTGAAGACATATTGAGTATCATTCAGGACTATTGGTCCTTCTGGATTTGTTTAGGTTTATTTGGTTTGTGTTAAGAGTATGTTGGCAAAATATCAGACCCTGACAAACTGATTGCAGCTTCTGTCTCTGTGCGGGATAGAAATGTTCTGTGTAATTCAGTTAGTGCTGGTCTCTGAAATCAGCCAAATCGTGGACTGGAAATTTTGGGCATTCTGTGAGCCTGACATCCTGAATCGCGTAGTGCGATGGCTTCATTTTCACTGTCTTCCTGTTGAGTTTCTTCCAAAATATCCTTCTTTTCCATAACTCTCAAACCCGTCACAATACCCTCTCTCTCTCTCTCTCTCTCTCCCCACTCATTTCAGTATTACATCGCAGTCTGTAAAATGTTGAAATCATTAGATTATGGTGGAGTCAATTTTTATGGCATTTTTATTGGATTTCTTCATTAATTCATGAGTTGCTATCATAAACCTATGGGTTTGTAGGTCCGTGATACCTACTTGCAGGAATGCTGGTGTAACTTGGTCTAATTTTGCAACGGGGCTTCCTTGAGTCGAAGTGACATGTGTGATATTCGTGCAGTGCAGAGAGCAGAAGAGGAAGAGGAAGTCTGGCAGGAGGCATCATGAAGACTTTGTTGCTCAAAAATGTTGTGCATCTCTGCTAATGACATAGTATTACACCGCACAAAACATTCGAGGAATAAATGTGCAAAATGGCAATACTGGACCTGCAAAGCCCCATATGTGTTGTGATGCAGTTGAGCTGCAGGATCGAGAGGCAGAACTGGCCAAGATCAGGACCCATTCAGTGAGCGTGATTTTCCAGGCGTGATTTTACATCAACAGTGCAAACCCTGGCTCAGGAATTGGACTACTGAGACCTCTACAGAGGGCTGATTGATTTTCATTAATTGAAAGTTACTGTTTCAGTGGCAGTGATGCAGTTGGAGAAGCTCAGCAACTGTTTCTTTGTTTTATTTCCTTGGTGATGAATAATAGTTTTCAATAAGGTATCAAAGAAAGAGTTCATACAAAGCTTACAGAACAGAAGGAAGCCATTCAACCCAGTCTTCTGTCCTCGTGGTGGATTCCCACATAGAACCATTTTCTATAATCCCTTTCCCATGTACTGGATAATCGGGTTCAGTTGACAGTGTCACAAGAGAGATGTGGATGAACACGGCCATTCAGCCCATTTGATATCATCCTGCCAAAATACCAATTTTATCTTCCCATTACAGTCTCAAGTTGGTGCTTTCAAGAGTCCAGTGACCTGGCCTCAACCTCCCTTCCTGCTAACCTGTTTTCCTTGTTAATTACTTGTGTAAAGAAATATGTCCTGCTGTCTGTCTTAAAATTGCTCTTCACAATCCTAAACCTTTGTCCCCTTGCCTTAAACTATTACATTGGGTTCACCTCTTATTCCTGTTTAACATATTAATACCTAAATAACATGATGAAACCGTTCTATTTTTTTCATGAGGACTAAAATTGACCAGTTCTTTGCTTGCTTTCTTCATTTTTCAGAAATTGATATTGAGCGTTGTGTTCGAGAATCCATTAATCTTTTCTGCTGGACACCTAAAAGTGCCACATACAGACAGCATGCTCAACCACCCAAAGCTCCAGGTGATGGCAATGGAGCCACCAGATCATCTTACTACTCCTCAGACTATCAGGACATGCCCAAGACTGACCTGGTGAGTACTCCTACAGCAGGACCATGTGTTCATTTACTGACCACTTACAGCAATTTGTTTTCAAAACAGGTTCTTGTTTGAGTATAACTATCCTTAACGTTTAGAAGGCTTTGTGAAAAAATAACATCAGATGTTCTCTATGCTCTTTGATTGTGATTTGTATATACAGTTCTATATGGCAGAATAAGAAAGCTGAGAGGCAATTTATAAGACAGGTGATGGGCAGCAATGCTTTCAGAAACTTACACTGTCCAGAGTGGAAATCAGGTCAAAACCATTCATTCTTTTCTATTACATATTTGAATGTAGTTACAGTATTTTGAGGACTGTTCAAAGATATATGTTTTTTTCACTGGCAATGCAGAGTCCATTCACCGTTTTTGCAGACAGATCAGTTTTAATTAAACCCAAATACTGTGAAAGTCAAAGCTGTTTGAGCAGATCTGTTTCCTTAAGATTATGCCAACGTAATCGAACAGTGGCCACATTCATAAATTGAATGAGTTATTATAAATGTTTGTGGTATTCCTGTTGAAGAATTTGTGTCCAACTCTTTCACTGGACAAACCTGCATTTACGTTACAGCAGACTTGATAATTATTGGTTATTATATTACAGTTTATTTTGGTAAATAAAGTGCACATAAACCAGAAACCAGGTGGAAATCAGCAAGGATTTGTGCAAAATTCAGAAATTGTTTTTCAATAATAAAGGAATGAAAAGTTACAGGAAAAGAAGCAATCTATTCAGTCCATTTAGCCTATTTGTCGTTTTCTGAGTTTTTGGGCATTATGATCACACCTAAGCTTCTAAGCCTAATTTCTAACCTTTGATCCTCAGCTGTCTGAGAGGGAGAATGCTGCTTTCATCTTAATTTCAAGCTTAATGGGTGCGATCCTGTAATGTTACAGTAATGGCTATATATAATGGCAGAAACATTTTCTTTTAACCTCAACTCAAAATCTTTTGTATTCATATACTATATTAGCTCAGCAAACAGTCAATCCATTACTATGGAAACATGTTGGAATTACACATCCATTCAGTGGTCAATCTGAAGTTAGGATCAACCATTCTAACCGTTGTTAAAAAGACTTGTAGTCTTGTAGATGTTTAAGTTTTGGACATTGTAACACACGTCAAGGATGCTGTGACTTAAATTTGCAATGTCGCCAAAGTGAAGCATCTGGCAAAGTTTTTGGTCCTATATGAAGAGAAACAATCTGAAGAGCAGGGTTAGGTATACTCGATTGGGATTTGAGTAGATATTCCCATTGGAAGATCAGGTTAGTCTTCAAATAATTTATATTGAAACAGTGTTCAATGAAAACATCAATGCCTTGTCATAAAACATTAGAATGCGTCTTTTTTATAGTTCAAACAAAAGCGAGGAAAAATGAGAAGAATCATATTGCCAAGCTGTCACACAAAATTTCCTCAGTGCTGAGCAACATTGTGAGAGCAGTTACAGGCGCTTTACCTCTGAATATTACCAGATACAAGGATAATAATGTCTTGCTAAACTTGTGTCTTCACTGCTGCGCCTTATTTCTTCCTTTTGACCAAATGGGGTGTATCTACTGTATTAGGAATCTTAGTGGGAGAGGAAAAAAAGGTACAATATTTTTCTGCAATAGTTTTCATTCTTTCTTGCCTTGACCCCAGCCGGAATTTTTGTATGTTAATGTTTTTCACCACAGCTGTTTTGTTATGGAATTTCTGAGCAGCTGATTTGATAAGTTTACAGCAGTCTTTTTACATGTAATCCGAAAGGACATCACTCCCCCAGATTTCAGAAAGTTCCTTCAAATCTATCTGTTATAAAGCAGGGTTCATTATCCTGTCCGCTCCTCACTTGAGGTTAGTGCTGTCATGTGCCATTTATTGATTAGTTACTCAACAGACCCTCTTCAAATCACTTACTAGTTGGAAGAAAGACAGAAGAGACAGCAGCCTTTGTTGTCTGCTGATACTCAACCTTTCTGACATTAAGAGGCGCATGATTGATTTCAAAACAATCTTCGAAGATTGTATGTGGAAAGAAAAGCAAACCAGAGTTTTTTCAACTTTGAATCCATTGCTTTTCTTTCCTAACTTCTCCAAAGACACTTTGTTTTGAACAGTATTGTGATCACCTTATGGGAGGGTTTGGAGAGACCTCTGGGAGAATGGCAAGTGCTCTCCAGTTCTCAATCCTCTCCAGTTTCAGTTCACCATATGGTTTGCTGAGTGAATCATTCCATGCGTAAAACAGTGGTGTGTCTTGGGCACCGAGCGACTTGTCATTTCATTTGCAGACCATTTGACTGGCTTACACTGTGCAAAAAATGATTGTGTGCAATATTAAAAGACCAATAGTAGAGAAGATGGGGAAATATTTCTCTATTGCACCCACGTTCTTTGAAAAAATTGAGAACTCAGAATTGAAGATCATTCCCATGGTTGTCATTTTATAAGATTTTTATTAACTGACCAGCATGTGGTCGACCAAGGAAATTTAGTTCATAAGTATTTAATAAAGTGTTCATTAGGTCCCTCGAGAGGATTGTTATACAATCTGCTTCTTCCACCCTGTCAATTACAAAACTCAATTTGTTTAAAAATGTGTTTAATGTGGGTTTTCTGTATCTCTGCCAATGGTTTGAAGTTAGTGGAGAATTAATAAAAAACTGGGCATGTACTTGTTGAGTGCTGCCCTGTTCCAGGTGAAAGTTGTTAGCACTTTTCCATTCCCGGGATCCAGCACATAAAATTGAAGTAAAGTCTAATGGGACACATAGAAAGTGAGAACGTGTCTTCATTCAAACTCCAGAAAACTGCACTGCAGTCACCAAAGTACATTTTCCACTCTTTACACCAAGCTTACTTGTGTTCTTTCTGAGAGACGTTGTTAAGTTGCTGCTAACTTGTTGGCAGTTTTCCTTTGCAGATTGTAAGTTACAACACCACATTCATATCTTGAAATATTTCTGCACCCATTTGTTCATCCTATCCAATTGATGGATTCACAGGGTGAAAGAAGAATGCTAACCTGCTGCACTAAAGGATCCCTGTGTTATCGTATTGTGAGAAAATGATTGTTTTAAAAACCTGGCTTGATGGTTATACATTTATTTTTATGATCCTCTGCTGTGGCAGAATGCCCTGTTTACCTTTTTGCTTACTAAGATCATTTTGCAATATGTTTATAGGGAGCATTAGCCATATTTAAATAGTTTCTGTAAACTATTAACTTCTTATCACTATCCATTTAATACACAACAGTAAGCTTAATAATCAGCCTGACCTATTTGTTGAAAAACGTGGCCACTATTGAAGAAAGGACTCCATAAAGCAGAAATCCGAGTTCTGTTTTAATTCAACACATTTAGCAACGGTGGCCACTGTTCGATTACGTAGGCATAATCTTAAGGAAGCAGATCTGCTCAAATAGCTTTGACTTTCACAGTGTTTGGGTTTAATGAAAATATTATTTGTTACTTTATTTTGTAGCCTCTCTTTGCTGAGATTTTCTGCTGGAGGACTCTGAGCTCACATGCAATTGTGATACCTCCTGTGAGGTGTTAGTCTGGATGGAATCAATGCCCTTTGTGATCTGGTGTTAAACTGAGCTGCTCCTGGGGGTTGATAAAGATCTTACACAAAGTGTGGTGGTAACCGCAATACTGTGACAAGTAACCCCAGGAGAACACTTCAGGCTACCAGTCCGGTTTGAAGCCTGTCACATTTCATTCACTTTGATCAAAATAAAATAAAATCTTCCCCTGTGTTTTTGTGTGTCACGTTTTAAAAATAAACAGCTGCCCATATTTAGGCGAGCAAGTTAATTAACCAAATTGACCTTTTATGATTCCTAGGCTTATGTTGAAATAAGTTTATTTTCTGTCACGCTCAATGAATCATGTTCCTGTTCAGGGCTGAGTCTTGCCCTTTTCATTTCTGGTCTGAGCAACAATATAAAAGTTTACAGAATTAATTCCATAAGGTGTGAGTTTGGCTCAGATGTTGAGCTCACAGTCTAGGCTGTAGGAGCATTATCATAAATGTTGCCCTTTGGATGAAACATTAAACACGTCTGCCTGTTCAGGTGGATGCTAAAGTTCTCACAACACTACTCAAAAAGAGAAGTTAGTTTCTCCAGTCTTTTGGCCAACAAACCCATCAGCCAAATTGGTAATTTAAGCAAATCAGCCACTGCATTTCTTTAACAATTACTCTTTAAATGAGTCTAATCTGAGCCGATTGAAAGTTTCACAGTGTTAACTGTGTGTTATTACATCAGTACTAATAGCACTAAATGCACAAATGGTTTTATACTCAGAAACAAATTTAGCTTTTTTTCATTTTTTATGGTCATTGTGAATGTTTTCCTGTTGGACCATCTGTTTTCTGTTAGTATATTACTGTCACTTTCTCCCGTACTTTTGGTTACTCTGGCCATTACATTTTACAATGTGACTGCACAATATGTTCCTGGAACAAGTAATAATAATAAACCTTACATTTGAAATAGCACCTTTCACTCATCACTTTACATCAAAATAGCAAATTATAACACGACCATTGTCTTGTACAAATTTTCTTCAACATTTTAAGACTTAACAGATTTCAAGGTTTAGATGTTTGTATCTAACTTTTGCTTCTAGCAATATCTGAATTTCTAGATATATCAGTATGTCATAATGATTTTTGTGTAAGTATTTCATAAGAAATTTCATACTTATGAAAGATCTATAATAATAATAATAATCCTTATCTTATCCTATCTATATGTATTATGTATATTTGTTAGGTCAGGGTATTAAGGGATATGGGGCAAGAGCCGGTAACGGGACTTGAGGTACAGATCAGCCATGATCTTATAAAATGGCAGAACAGGTTCGAGGGGCTGAAGAGCGAACTCCAGTTTGTGTGTATACGACTGTGCTGCTTATGAATTCAGTTTTAGGGAATTATAGCTTTAATTATGTATCAAGATCCCATAGCCTGGCTTTTGTGGT